TGATAGCAGCCATGGCAGTCTCTGGGACTTCAAAAATGATTAGGTATTGAGGTCATTACACTAGAAATAGAAGGATGGCTTCCTCCAGGATTGATTATAATAATATGAAAAAGGAAGAATAAATGATGCACTATGGGGAAGAGGGTGTTTTAAGGGGTACTGTGAGGGTAAGCTGTTTCAGCACTCCTTGCTCTAGGATGCTAGGCTATTAGCTACAATTTCCTGCATAAAATGCTTCTGTAACAAGAAAAAAAAGAGTTGCACTTTTCCTTTCCTTCAGTTAATGTTCGGATCCAAAGGAGCCTTTCACCAGATCGGATTTCTGAAAGGACCCGTGACACAGTTATGTACAAACCTGGATAAGTTTTGTGCCCATGTTCTCTGTTACATAGCTGGAGGCAGCATAAAAAATCTGAACACGGTAAGTATATGCAAGAACACCTATTCAAAGTAAAACTAAAGTGATTTTGGAAGTTTCACCTCTACATTCTCTCCTTACCCAGTTACTGTCGTGCATGTAAACATACATAAACCACAACATAGTTCTCAGCAGACTGAGGGAATGCCAGGACATTGTGTGCTGTTAACAGCAGCAGCATGACTAGAGGTAGTGATGGATGGGACCAACAACTGGGCACATTCCTATTCCAGAAAGAAAGGACTGAATTCAGACTACACCTCTATTGTATATGTCAATAGATGTACTCTCTCTGGGGGCTAAGCCAACCAGAATTGGTCACGCACAGATGTACTTTAAAAAGAGACAGTGAATGATGGAGTCGGATTTATTCTTGGCAATACAGTTGCCAGTTTCTTCCCTTGACATGTGCACACTGGGGTCCTCTGAACACTGGAATAGCTAAAAGTCAGGGAAAAGCCCCTTTTTAATTCCCACTTTTAAGACTACTTGCACCAAAACTTGGTCCCAAAGAACAACCGTAAGGGGCATTTTCCCATTTTGTTGACCTTAGAACTGGACCCAACAGCTCAATCTACAAGGTTCAGAGCTACACAAAGTCCTTACGTTGTGCTGAGGAGTGCAGCACACCTACAGTGGGATTCACGAACACTAATGCATCAGTCAGAGGGGAAGGAGAGACAGAAGAGTTTTCTGTGTGCTTGCCAGCATATGGACACTGTGGTGTCAATCCCCTTTACAGTGGCCAAAGTGCAGAAGCTGGCTGTATAATGTTTATTACTGCAATATCTGTAATGACAGGGGGGGCATTTTTTCCATCTATAACCACTTTTAAAAGCACATATGAGAAAGCAGTTAGAATCAAAGGTTCAATGCAAAAGAAATTAAAGGCATTGTAGCCCTTTTGAATTGCAGAGCTAAACCATTAAGGATATTTCCTGATTTGTTAAGTCACTCATGTGGTACTCAGGGCAAGATAACATGGCTGAGGAAGAATCTGGAGAGATGGAACTGGAACATCTCCCTAATAGAACTACAAAAAATACAAAGAGAAACAAAATGTATCAGTTTTGTAAGTTGGCTTCTTTAGGACTAGGAGTGAAGTGAAGAAAAAAAAAATCTTCATAAGACTTATAGATGCATGGGGGTCTGGTGTGAGATGGGAAGTCTCCTTTGAAAGAGTTGGAAGGTTTTTCCCCAATTTTGCTGGGCATAGGATCCCACAGCAGTACTGTCTTCGTGGAATGTACTGCTTTCCTGGAGAGGGCATGCAGATACATACTCTTAGCCAGCTATTCTGAAGTCTGCTTCTCCGTTTTCTGTCTGATATTCGAAGAATATCCCATTAATATGGAGGTTTAATACAGCAGCAGTATGTTGCCCAGTTTCTTTGCATTTTTATTCTGTCACAACACTGGGTATCTGTCTTTATAAAATTTCTGCTTTCTCCTCAGAGTCGAATAGACACATACGTAGGACATTCCCCAGCTGGAACATCAGTACAGAACATTATTCATTGGCAACAGGTATAACTGCGCACAGGTGTATAAATAGTGTCTTACTACCGCTTTTTATGCAACCAACAGCCTACAAGGAAATCCAGAGATTATGGATCTGGGAAACTGACCATCACACTCACCTGCTGCCATGAGCACCTGCACACTTAATGTAGTCTAGAATGTAGATTTGCTCTTGAAGACACCCTTGACAATGATTCCCAGCAGTCAGTCCCACAAGATACAACTAGCCAGGAAATGGAGAAAACCCACTGACAGCTAGTGACTTTACAGTCTATTTTGCCGGCCTCTAACAAAGTCAGGTGGATAAAAGCAAACACTGATACAGGAAGATCAAATAGCAAAGACAATACAGCAAGCAGATTTCTAGCACACATCCAGCTACTTAAATCCTTGAAGCAAAGGTTTTCTAAATTGACAGGCCCTGGCTTTCTTTCAGCCTTTATTACATACAACTACTCACAAATGAAATTACTTGTCATGTTCATGCAAAAAATAAAATCGCCAAAACAAACAAAAAACTCCAGGTATATGTATTTAACTCTTCACTCATCAGTCCTGCAAGGCATATTACACTAGACTAGTAATAGCCCTGACACATCATAGACATTCAGGTTCTCTTTCCATGGGACAACTGAATTTCTGTATTACGAACAGAAACCCCAACTTAAGTTACCCAAGGTAGTAAAGCAAAATTGTAAGTAATAAAACATACCAAGGGTGGAAGAAAAGGATCATGATAAAAAATTAGCAAGAGAAAAGGCAATGAAGCCACTTATCCTATGATCTACCCTCAATATCCAGGAAGCCTGCAACCAGAGAAAGGTGGGGGAGTAACTCACAGTCCACTACCCAAGCCTTGACTTAAATCATAGGCAGTAAAATGCCTCCTGCACTCTGCTTCTTGGTCTCCTGTCACTTTCATTTTATCTGTTCTTTTAACAGCTAGCACATACAGACCAATTTCAAGCTTACAACTATGGCTCTAAGGAAAACATGAAGAAATACAACCAGGTAAGGCAATATGTTTTCCTTGAGAACTCATTCTTGGGTCCTGGCAAAACTAAGAACAGAAAAATTCAAATTTTAGCATATGTGAATGCTACCAAGGGAAAGAGGGGTCTCAGGCAATGTTTCAGCTGAATCACACACAAAAGTATAAAAGTCTATTCACAGACATGGCATGGACGATCCTTGCAGACAACTAACAGAAGTTCCTTTTGCCTCCCCTACCATGCAGGGATGTCCAATGACACGCCAACTTAACTGTCATTCTCAAAAGGCAAAGAGCCACACCCAAGTCCTGGGACCGGATGGGTACAGTGCTCTTCAATTCCCCCAAAATCTTCACGATCTGCCTTTCAATTAAGGGAGGAAATGAATTTCACAGCTACAGTGATCTCTCCAATGGACTGACAATCATTTCACTTTTAACCAGCACATTTGACTTGCAGTGTCCTGTGCTGTCTGCTTTCCACAGACAGAAAGACCCCAGAAATATAATCAGTCCATTTCTATCTCGCATACTGTCTCAGAAATTTTCTAGAGTGAAATTATAAATGGCCAAATTATTTCCTTGTCACTGAAGTACCAAGCATGAAAACTAAAATGAACAGTTGCACTCCATGCCCCAACAAAACTTATAGATCTTCACACCCTGAATATTAGGAAAGAGAAAGAGAGATGTTTGCACAGAATCCTCCCCTAAACATAACTTTTGATACAACAGCATTTACTCAGGCTTCTTCCCTTCTTACAGACTGCTCCTCCTGTGTACAAGATAGAGGAGATAACCATACCAACTGCTGTTTGGAGTGGAGGAGAGGACACATTTGCAGATCCAGAAGACACGGCAAGGCTACTTCCTCAGATTAGTAATCTCATTTACCATGAGCAGTTTCCTACATGGGGACATCTTGATTTCATCTGGGGCCTTGATGCAACTGAGAAAATGTATATGAAAATCATTGAACTAATAAAAAAATACTTTTGAAATTAATGAAAACAGAAAACATGAATGTATTCAAGCATGTACTGCAGGGATCACTTAATTTGAACAGCTTTTATTTCTACGAGACTCATTTGCCTAAGCCTACATTCTGTTGTTTTCATGTATATCTTATGTACTCCATCAAGGCATTCCCATGCCCAATTTGTGTCTTCCTGTGGAGACCTAAAAGTGTGATTTGATCATTTCTCTGTTGAAATGAGCACCTTTATTTACATTAAATTATTTATCCCCTTGACAGAGGACTTGGCTTTTTTTTTTTTTATTATTTTTTTCCCTCCTCACAGAGATCTTCAAACACAAGAAACTGAGCAGACAATAGATGACTACCAAACATCAAGGAATTCAGCCTGAGAAAAACTCATAGAAGTATTCTGCTGCCCTCCATGCCTACAAAGCACCCAAATGTCTGTTCACACACTCCAAACCCCTCAATTTTGAAGACCATGGATGGCAGCTGAGGAATAATAAAATGCAGCCCCATCTGGCAAGGTGCACTCCAAGCAATACAGGTTCCACCCCATGAATTATTCTTGACACTGGCAATGAAGCTGTTTCAAGCACTCTGAGATATTCAGCTTCGACTTTTAGACAGCTCTGTGTCTTCTCCATTCTTCCTTTAAGCAGGTTCTAAAACATGGGAAAGCAGTCAGTTGTTTTTCCTTTCCAGCCATTAGCCCTAAGAGATGGCATCTTCATTATCCATGGAAGTGCCTCACATCTACTCACATAGATCTGGCAGGTAAGAGTGCCTGTCCCCAGATTACACATAAAGTGTTCATGATTACAGGCTCAAACAGGGAGCTTGGTTTCGTAGGGTGTTTCTGGCTGCAGACTCAAACAAATTGCCCAATCAAGACCCTTTGCAGTTGGAGTTGGCATCCAATAGAACAGTTACACTGAAAAATATCTGTCTTCTTCAACACAGGAAAAATACACTAGCTTGTCCCTGCACCTAGTGTAGCACCCATTAGCAGTGCTAATCATGGCATCTATCTACTGCACTTCTGACAGCTTATGGGAAGAGGCCAAAATTGTCAACAAAAACAAAGATCCATTAGATCAAGAAGGCAAAATACAGCAGCCTTCCAAAGGAGATTCTCTTTTATTGCTGCATTATTAAATCACAAAGCAGCAGGACACTTTAATACATTGCTTACAAATGCGGGTTTTCCTCTGCTTTTACCTATGCAAGATAAGATTCACGGATATATTATTATTATTATCAGTATTATCCCCTGCTGCATGCACCACTCTGAAAAGCATACTATCCTGTCCAGTCCCATGGAAAGGATTCATCTGGTTCTCGTCAACAGCATTTCATTTATTGATTTTTTTTTCTTTAGTACACTGTTTATATTGGAAAGGTAGTCAAGAGACCTGTTTCTCTACGATGCCAAACATATTTTCATTATTATTTCTTAATGCATTAAAGTGATCTGGGAATTTGCTTTCTTTATGGTCTCCAGCAAGCCATTGAATCCCTTTTTGCTGTGTCTTATATGAAAAAAGAGAGAAGATAATCCTACCCTTGTAGCAACATAGTGAGAATTAAGGTGTCTGTAGGAAGGATGGAAGGAAAAAGTGCTCAGCTGAGAGACCTATTTTCCCAGTCACTCCCATTGTGGGAAGAGAAATACTAAGAGGAAGGGTACCAGACTTTGTACAACTGCTGTAGCATATTGTTTAGTTCCCCTATAGAACAAGTAATGGATATTTTATTTTTGCATTGGCTGCCAACCATATGCAATATTTAGGCTTCCAGATATTTTATAGTTAGCTTTCAAAATCCACAGACTACAGAAGTCAAGTAATAAGACTGATGAAGCAGATGGGAAGGGCAATATTTTGACCACTATTGCAATCATTCATGGCTCAGTAAAATCAAATTAACTCCTTTCACTCCACACATGGCCTTGGGGGTACTGACAAGTCTCACACAAAGTTGTCGAAGTCTACAGCAAGGAATGGGTGGATGTGGACCAAGTTTTTATCAAGTAACAGCCTTCACCCTCTGTTGGACATTTGCTGTTATGCAAGATGCATTGTCAGATGAGGTAATTTTCTGCATGTTTGAGAGTCCTTGATGACTAGGAAGCTTTTCTTAGCATGCTTTCAATGTTGTGGAACTGCAGTCTTCTTGCTATATCTAAGGGAGTCTCCCCATCCTGAAAGAAACAGATGAAATACATTGCAATATCATAGATATCGATCGAGTACAAGGAGCTTTCCTGAATTTGTCACCCAGATGCAGTGGTCTCCCATGTAAGTTCCCCTGTCACATCCATGCTCTAAAACAAAGGTTTCAGAACATGCTGGATCTAATACTACTTTGAAGACAGACGGCCATTCCACTGTTTCCTGGGACTAATATCCAAAAGTCAATTTTGGATATTAGCACAGCTTTAAATCTTAGCACAGCTAAGATTTGGATTCAAGAGCAACATGGGTAATACATTGCTCACCTCAACTCAGTAATGCAGATACTCCCAGGTCAATATTGATTTGGGCAACATTTGAGCTATTCTGGTGACAGGAGCAGCTTGACTTAGCCTCTCGCAGAATAATGGTGTACAACAGCATGAAAAGCACCTAAGAAGGCTCTTACCACTCCCCTGTAGCCTGCTTCTCAGGAACAGAACTGTAGAGCAGCTCTGAGTTAAGAAGAGGTACCGTAAAGACAGATGAGATGTGCCAAACCAGGGGACATAAGGGCAGTGTTTACTGGTAGAAAGCCAGCAGTGAAGGATTTGTACTTCAAAGTTGCTCTTGCCAACAAAAGCAATGGAGCAAATGTTTTATACCAAACAGGAAACAACTTCCACTACCAGGAAGCTGAGTACCCTTTTCTTTAAACTGCTGCACACCAGCTAAATACAGTTATCAATTTCACCTTCTTACCTGATTCTTTACAGAAGTGTCTGCATGAGCTTCAAGCAGTAGAGGAATGACTTCCTGATTTTTCATTTCACAAGCATAGTGAAGGGCTGTGCTACTAGACTGAAGGGAGACAGAAGCAGATGAATTTTAGTTCTATGAATTCTTTAGTAGACCTTAAGCAAGTACCTGTAGCCTTATCAGTTTCCCTCAACACTTGGATGCAAAACACACATATCAGTTTCTACCACAACACACCACATAGTAAAACAAATACATTATCATAAGAGCAACAGGAACAACAACAAAAAATCATTCCTTCCATGGAAAGCAGCTGCTAAAACAGGTCTGATACCTTCAGCAGGAAGCCAGTAGTTCTTTACTAATTTCAGAGGATTCCAGGATATTGATCCCAACAATACTATTTGCTTACACTTCAGCATTTTAGAATTTGGTTGCTGATAAAATTGGGCATTCTTTTCTATCTTAGAGTAGAGGAGGTCTTTACCACACCCAAGTAGGCTAGTGGATACAGGACTCTGCCTATGGCAGATCAGCACACTCTGACGACCAAGAGTAGACACAGGATCTAGCCCTGTGGCACGATCTTTGCCTAAAAATATGCTCCAGTTCAAGAACTCATAAATGCTGATAAACTGAGACCCTTATATCAGTAGAATCTTTATAGGATCGGGTATTTCACACATAAGTGTTTCAGCCCAGCTTAACTGGATTCTCTTATGCAGGCATTGTTCAAAAAAAATAATTAGTTGATCAGTGGGGATTATTTCTGTGTACATTAGCATATTGAAAAACTGTTGCCTAAACATCAAGGGGAAACACTGAATTTTCCTGGTACGTCACACTCAGTTCAGTCCCTGATCCCATTCTATAGCAGGCCTATGTTGCTAGAAGATTCTGAAGTCTGGTTTTAGAGTTGTTGCATGCATGCAAACCACATTTACATTTTTATAAATCCACTTACAGAGTCTGTAGCATTCACATCAGCTCCAGCTCTGAGCAACATCTTGATCAGGTTTTCATTCTGTTTAGTCTTTGAGACCTGTTTGGTGCAAGAGAAAGAGTAACACAGTAAGACAGTTCATCTATATATAGTGCTAAGTAAATTTGGGCTAATTACTGTGGGTTTTTTCCAAAAAGAAGAGTGTCTTCTGCAAATACCAGGCTGATGCAGTGCTGCAATTCTGTTCCTACACCAGCTATATTCACAGCAAAATTCCTGTTTCTTCTGTTGTATTCATCTAGTCCTTGCTTTAAGAAAGCAGTCCTGTGTACTATACAGGTTCCTAGCCTGAAATACTGCCATGAAAAATGTCATAAAGGGAAAGGGAAAGATACAGTGTTTTTCCTGCTTTCATTCAGACTCACCATGAGAAGATATCCAATAAGCATAACTGGCATGAGGATTATGATGAGCACATAGTCAAGGAAGGTAAATCGTTTTCTCACAGCATAATGCAGGCAAGTGCGGTCCTTCTAAACACAGAATAACTCTGATTAGCACCAGATTCAGTGATCTGACTTTATTTGTTTAATATCGACAAGAGTAGACCATTTTAGATTTCACAAGCTTTCTTTTAGACTATCTACTGGAAATATTCCTCTGATTTTCAAGCAGAAAGGGACACATTTTGCTTCCTTCAAGTAGAAGCATATTTAACACATATAGGGGCATGGAAATTGGACTACATGTGCAAGGAGGATGTGGGATCCAAAGGATTCCATGTGTATGTCTGCACACCTAGACATGGCTGCAGAGACTGAAAAGACAGAGTGGACATCTCGTGGGTACACCCATCAAGTTAAATCAGCAGGAAGAATCCCCACAGCTCCTCTTCTTATGGAGGTGCTGGTTACTGAAGCAAGGACACATGAGACTTTAGGACATCTCCTTTGGGACATCTGAGAAACACAGGCAAGTACCAATAACCACCACAAATTCCTAGTGAGAACAGAGTTCAAAAGAAACTTTGAATACTGAATGTACCAAAGCAACTAATGGGCAGGGCTACAAAGTTTCATGCTAAAGTGTTAAGCTTCTCGCAGATTGTCAAACTGGAATTTCACAAACTAGGCTATGATGTTACACAGGGGCCCAAAGTAATCAGACAAGTCCTTCTGTGCCATCTGCTGTTCCTCATTCTCAGTCCACAGCACCACAGTTAAGCTCTGTGTCCAAGGGCCTTATTCCATCTATGAAGGTGAAGCAGGGAGGCATTTAAGAATGCCAGGCATGGCTAGCAAATGGCTACCAATGAAATTTAAACTATCTTAATGCAAAACACTGAACCCTTTAAAAGGGACTTTGAGGTAAAATGGACAGCTTTCTGCATTAAGAAGAATAGGTAGGATAGAATATTCCACTGGCCTCATGAACATTTGCTGTCCTTCTATGAAATGAAAAAATGCACTGGAAAGCAGATATGTGAGATAGCCCACAAATGTGTAGGAACTTGATAAACGTTGCCTTGATATAATACAATTGACAATGCTGTGCAGTTTTTCCTTTTTAGCACCCTTGACATCATAAGAATAAATTACTAATAAAGCCAGAACACACATCTTTCAGCCACTTTTTATTTGTAACCTACTAGAAAATTTACCACAAAAACACACTTTCTCATCACATTAGGTATGGTACTTAGTTGTTGGCTGGGGTTAAACAACAACAGCAAGGAAGGTTGGTTTTCTAAATTAGGCAACAGGGCAGGAAGACAGAGAAGGCTTCTCTCCTTGCCCCCTAGGATGCTACTGCTCTGTACTCTGACAAGCTGCAGGTCTGGCAAGGAAGTAAGGAAGGTTTTTATAGAGTCGGTCTCTCTTTGGGGACATATTTGTGAAAGGTCAACAGGCTCTTGTTCAGACCTTCCTTTTAACCAGGGTGAAGAAAAAAGCAGAGGAAAAAAACTACAGAAGAAACAGACACAAGGTGGAGGGCAAAGTGAATGTGGAGTGCTGCACGGGTAAGCAGGCAGAATCCACTGGGGACTGGGGATGGCATGCAGTGTTACCTAAATGGGGAACATGAACACAGAGAAAAATTCAGGTCTCCAATGTTTATTGTCTTGTGTGCATTAACAAGTTAGGAAAAGACATCAGGAGACAAACAGAAACATATAGGTTTATTGAATTACAATTTAGGGGTTATAGTTATGCCTCAGTAGGAAACAAACATCAGGTTTGGCTGTGCTTGCCAGTGTGCCCACTGGTACTCCAAGAATCTGAAAGAACAGTCGTTGCAAAGGAGTCAGTGTCCACTTACCTTATTTCTGAGGTTGACATCAGCATGTCTTCTTAGAAGATAGCTAACTATCCTGTTGTTTCCCTTTTTACATGCACAAATTAAGGGGGTGTCTCCACTGAAGCTGTCCTGGATATTCAGATAGTTGCAGTTGCGCTCCAAAAGGAACTGAACTTTATTGAAATCGTTGTTATAAGCTGCCTGACAAATGGGCTGAAGGGAGAAGATAATATTCATCAATATATGTTTCATTAAAACATCCATACTTCCCATTCTGACTTACTACTTGCACATCCCAAAATAATTGACAAAGGTTGTAGTTCTTGGTGACTTCCAGAAGATGGTGGTAGGAGACACTCCTGCAGCTGCCACACAGCAGCTCTCAGCCCTCAGCCCCAGAAGTCACAGCCTTTGCACAGTGGAATGAGTTTTCTGTTAGTTTTGGATGTTATTTCTATAATTCAAGAAATAAATACGGCTTATTTGCAGCCTTTAAAAAAAAAACGGCTTCCAATCTCATAGGAGCTGGTGGTCACTGTATTAAGCAGCAAGCAAAGACAAGCCCAAGTTCTCTCTGAGTTTACAACAGGCTTTCCCTTTGTCTGAGCACTTCTGAACAGAAGGTACCACTCCTGACTCATCAGTTCTCAGAACAGAACCACACTTCAGGTAAAAGTTGAGAAAACAACCCCCCCAGTGTTTCCTTTCAAGCTTGAAGCTAAACTTTTTACCTAAAAAATATATGTCTGTATGCCCACAACTCAGGCCCTGATTGGCTTTGGAGAATTGCTCGCTGCTCAACTTTTGCTTAGTATTTCTACACATCCTTGACCTAAATTGCAATTCCTTCCCTCTCCAGCAGCACGAATTCAGACTAAGGAGAGGCTGAGAATGGCAAGAGTAATACAAGTTTCTAACAGCCTAATACAGGCAGAAAGTAGCAGTGACAGATAGGGCAGACTGGTAGCATTTGAGTTCTCCAGTCAAAAAGAGAATAATTTTCTTTTTTTCTGTCTTTGATACTGAGGATTTTATTCAACATTTTACAAAATAGTAATTTTCTTTAAATACTGTCTGCAGTTTTTCCTTTCCGTTCTCCTTTTTTCACATCCTAAATACACTACATGAAAAAAATCTGGCCCTGAACTCCAAGCTGTTTCCTCACTCTGCCTGCAGTTACTTTCCTCCACTCATACTCTCCCCCCATATTAAAAATATTCTTCTTATTTATACTTTCACTTCAGCAAACTTTGATCTACAACACAAGTTTACCTCCAGCATCATTACTGCTTCTGGACAGCTGCATAAGAAAGTGATTTGTTTCCTAAGAAAATATTTACATGTTTACCAGACCTTGCACCACTTCTTGTTTTGTTTTTATTATTTCAGATAAATATCAACAGCAAATACCTGCAATATTGTAAATTTGCACATCTGTCTGTATTCTTATAAAAGCCTACATATACCATTTGCTATTTTGCACTCCACCAGAATCAGAACTGTTTTAATGGTTTTGAGGAGAAAACCCTTCTTTAAACCCCTTTTGGTGTGACCAGCACGTAGGTGCCATCTAAACGATCAGTTTTCTCTGCCATGCCAGTGTCTAGTACCGTATCTTCAGGTCCAGGAAAAAGAAGGTAAGTGGAGTCTGTCTGCACCTCTGATTTCCCTTCTATTTTTGCTTTTAGGTATTGCTTTGCTTATTTAAAGATGCAAAAGATTTGCTGTTTGGTTGAACACCTGATCAGACTGCAGTCATTTACCATACAGTCTTATTCTTTCCTAGAATGATACTTGCTAGTTCGGCAGCTCATGTCAGCAAATGACATGCTTTTTTGCTTTTCTTTCTGTACTTGCTAGGCCATTAAACCCAAGGCATTTCTGACTGATACTCTCACTGACCCGTGGGATCTTTTTCTAAACCTTACACTACTGTTGAACTCAGTTCTAGAGCCATGAATAATGATGGAGCACATACCACTCCCTAGGAGACCACATTATTTAGGACTGAAGTCATGCACAGAGACCAGCACATATGACTCATGCTATTTTACCTACCGAAACCAGCTGTTCTCAGAAAACATCCAGGGTACAGAGAATGTAAGGAAGCAATTCTCATCCATTCCTACAGCTAATACATGGGTAATTGATGTACTTGAAGTATTTTTTTACTTATTGTTATTCCACTGCAGTGGTGGTTCTTTGTAGAAATTATTCTCTCCTGCATTAATATGTTCTGTTCATGTTTAAAGAAAAAAAAAGTCAAACTTTTTTCCTGGTTTTATGGGATTTTTTTGAGGCCCACTCTGCTGGTTTATATTCTAGAAAATGCCTCTTTTAGTCAAAAAAAATGGAAAAGTCCCATGGATCAAACTCGTAGTATACCTCCCAAACTGGCAAACACAACTCCATGACTGGAAGGACAAACATAGTAGCAGAATATTTAAGTAAGGGAACAAAGCAGTACAGACAACTATAAATTCATTATATTGATATCAATAACAATAGAGATTCAGAAAATGTGTTAGGAAAGAACACAAATCCGTATTATTGTAATAAACTTGTAATAAATTTCAAATAAGTGGCAATCAGTCACCTGTCCAAGAAAGGCAACAGCAACAGCAACCAGTGGCAAATGCTGTATTAGAGAGTCTCTCTCACAGAAAGAGAAGAGAGTTGTTATAGAAGGCACTTAAGTGGGATAGTGAATACAGTTCTTTTCACTTGTGTCCAAAAATGAGATTAGACTATGGCAGGATCATGAAACATCTCTACAATTGAGGAATATGAAGAGCCTGAAGAAAGATTGATTTGCTTAGCTGGGCCAGAGACAGACAAGGTTGTAGGCGTTCCAAAATATATTAAAGGGTAAGTGTTAATTGGTTTCAAGGAACAAGGTAAAAAAGGTGGTATATCTGGCCAAGAAATTTAGCATGAAAATTATAAAGAGATTTCTATTAATCAGCAGGGTAAAATAACAAAACAGGCTTTCAGTAGCAGCAGAACAGACACAAAACCTGACTGGCTCCAGGCTGGAGCTTGAGCACGTGCCAGGATTTCTGTGTTTGTGAAGTCTCTGCCACAAATCACTCTTCCATCTCTCACTTTTTTGGGTTGCCACTCTGGCAGTCCTATCTAAAGGAGGACTAACTGTGCTTAAGACTGTTTTAAACAATTCTCCAAACTTTGCTTACAAGACTAATAGAGTTTCTTACAAATAGACAGTTAGATGGTACCTATCTGGAAGATCAGCAGGGAGGTAAATTATGGAGTTAGAACCATGTTAGGTACAAGTAGTAGATTCCACCCAAAACCCAAGAAAACATATTTTCTTTAAGTCTACAGAAAAGCTTGGAGGATAAAAGACTGCAAAACCTCACTCAGTTATCTACAGTGTTAGCAGACTGCCTCAGCAGTGATCCAGCTTAACAACCAGCTTCAGATTTTCATGTTATTGTTATCCACCCATCATACACAAGGGGGGGATAAACCTATGGGATACGTACTCAGAATAACTGGGCTTCACATGCAAGGTGGAAGCCATGTCCAAAGAATCCAAAGTTCACACCTCAGACTTGGGCTCAGGTGTGGCGTAGAGCAGGAGTATGAGAGCAGAAATCTGATGGCAGTGGAGGACAGCCAGGAGCCCCTGCAGCTTCCCTTCTTAGAGATGCACTGGCAGCTGGAGCACAGATATAATGTCTATGACGTCTCCTTTAGGTATGTGTGAGAAACAAGGGCCAGTGCTCCCACAACAAAAAACTCTGAAGAAAGTATCAGTGGGAACTGAGTTCACAACTTCTGGAGAGGTTTGCAGTCCAAGACACAGAGTGGCTACTCTTGCCTACACCACATTATTTATAAATCCCCGTGTCCTGACTGCCCCAGAGAACTCACAAAAGACCTGGCCCACCTCCATAACGTAGCAGGGCAGACCTGGCACAGGCACAACAAACATTGCACCCAATAAAAACATGAGCTCAGGTGTGAAGGGAGGGGGAGCAGGACCAAGATTTCCAGTTTAGGCAAAGAGTAAGAGAGCACCTCTTTGAAGTGTCTGGCAGCAAAGCCCTTCTCCTCTGCTCCTAATCACACATCTGCAGCACCACTCAACATTCAGACAAATGCACAAAACACATGATGGAAGGGAGGGAAAACAGAGAATCACAACAGCAAACTCCTTCCACCCTGACCAGTTGTGCCTTTTCCCTGCCATAGCATCAGGGCTAACCATGATCCAGAGCACAGTCTGCCCGACTGAAAAAAGAAAAGAACAGACACTGGAGGGTGGAGTTTGAAGATTATATATGCCAATGATTGAGTGCTTAAAATCTCTCTTTCTACAATACTTCTTCTGCAAGCCCTTCAGACCAGGATTTAATTGTTCAGTATCTACTTAAGGCTTCAGGAAAGGTGAGAAGTACTCATAGGAGAGACAAGAGTTTTCATGGCTGAGATCACTCAATACAAGATAACCAGATAAGGAGTGTGAGAATAGCAAAAAACTTTCACTGTCAGGAAATTCAATTGCGGAACAGATTCTTTGATTTCTTTTAATTTTTTATTTTTAATTAATTGTGGGACATGTGATTAGTAGTTTACTCATATCCAGATGAATGGCCACATCTGAATTTGTCTTCTCGTTTTCAGGGTTTCTTGTATCTCTCTCTGCTTAGTTTTGCTGAGCTAGTGATAAACCTCAAGCTATTTAGCAAGTTCTACCACACATGAAATAAAGATTAAAGGCACAGTATGAAGGACAAAGCATTCAGCCAGTAGAGAGGAGGTGAAGGTAAAGCCTGTCATGCAACTAGGAGAGCAATTTTGGTTTATAATTGCTTCCTCCTTTGAGAACAGCCGGGGATTGCCTAAATTACATCAACACTTTGCAGTTGTTTAGACAAAAAGGAGATACGTTGCAATGTCAAAATATTCTGAACCAATTCACAGCCTCTTCCTGTGTATTAAATTAATTCAAAGGCACAGTATGAACTAAAAGGGAAGTCTAAATCATGTTTAGGATGCTGAGGAATGCCCTAATATCCAATGCATACTTCTCAGAAAAGGCAACTTACACTGTCTTATTTTTATTTCTCTAGATTTCTGTCCTGTAGAAATGAACCATACTTTACCTAGAAAACTGTATCTCAAAATTTTTAAAGGAAGAAAGCTAATATATATGAGAATATTGACTAATAAGCATGGAAAATATGGACAGCATTTGAACATTCTTTAAACACCCATTTAATTAAGCTAGATGATACTGGTTTCCTATGCAATACTATCTCAGAAGAGTAGACCTGGAGAGAGGCAAAAAATCGTTTCAGAATAAGCTACAGTCTATTCACCAATCACCTTATGAATGCACAGATTCAAGGTCCTTGTAATACTGAAAGAGGAGAAGATACTTGATTTCATTGAATAGCTTTTTAAATATAAAAGAGTGTCTTTCAGCAAAGAAATGTAACCTTTTAAAGGAACAGCTATGTGATGCTATCTCCAGAAAAAGAAATAGCAGTGCAACACACTCTATTCATAGTCAAAAAGGACCAAAATCCTTATTTGTTCCCATGTGTACAAATGGAAAGTTTATAAAACAATATGTTTAGGTATCATTTATGCTAAAGTCTAGGAAAATACTAAATGAAGCATGGTCTGTGAACAAAACCATAAAGATAAGTCCAAAGAAAAAAGAAATTCCTTCCTAAAAGTTTGCAGGGAGGGGAATATTTTCTTAGGCATTAGCTTTATTATCTATATTCAGTGTAAGCCAAGGGGGTGTCTGATTTTGCAAAGTTGTCTGTTGCTTGCACCACATTCCGAATCATTCTGATCTCAACACAGAACAACAAAAAATGTTGAACACATACTTCGCAAAGTCACAATAATTACACCAGTTATTGCATTTCCTTTGCTCCTACAAAAAATACTTCTGACAACTCGCAACAGGCAAAGAAAAGCATTTCTAAAGGGAAAAATATTCCAGATCTGTATAAGCCTGTATATGGGGGGCAGCGAAGGGAACAAACCAAACCCAGTGAATATCCACACCTTCAACAGGTTCAGTTACTGTGCAAAAAATAGTCACGTACCTCTGAGTAGAGTATCCCCATGCCTGTTCTTCACTGCTTGAGTTCGTTGGTTCTTGTTCAACCGCCCAACAAGTTAACCACACTTGAAATGCTCTTGAGCTTGTTTGAATCTGGTTAATATTTAACTTAAAAGTATCACACTTTCTTATGCTACATTTCCTTTCAGTGCATTCTACTCGGTAGAATAAAACAATTGTCTTCAGAAACCCAACCCAGGGAGGTAAACGTGAGAACAGCAGCTTGCAGAAGACTGACAGAACAAGTTACAACACAGAAGCATTTTCCTTTGTCATTTTTGCAATAACATCCTTCAGTTGCCTAGAAAGGAAAGCAGCAAAACAGGTTGAGGAGAGGAGGAGGGAGAGAGAGAGAGGAAGAAAGCTTCACAAGTGAAGAAATGGAGAATAGAATAAAAAGCTTGAAATCTAAAACTTAAAATAAGTAACTACAAATGGTAGCTAGTGTGCCACACAAGCTACTTCTGACTAAAACATATTCCCAATGCTCTGCAAGAACCTCTCAAGACTCCTGTCAGGAAAAGGGAAGCAACTAAATCCCACGCCTTTAATGAGACCTCCCAGTATAATTATCCTCAGTCTCTAATTAAACAGGCCATCTGCTTTCATCACTTTTTGCTCAGTCTTCTCTTCCTAGCCCAGCCCAAACAATGAATATGATTCATGTTTAACCTGATAATTTTATATGTTAATTCAGAAGAGAATTATAGTTGATGGCTCTGATGATAAGATGCTGTACTACACTCAGGCTTTCTGAGTAGGGCATGTGTATTTCAAGTGTCTGCACTCACCTCAAAATATCTTTTCCCTTTATATTTTAAATTCATGTTTCCTGTATTTCAAGCAAATTTTAAAACGAGTTTTAAAACATATGCATGTAAGTATGCATCTTAAATCCAAGCCCTTTACCTTACATTTGAGAACTTTAATTTCCACATAACTTTCATATTTATTCTCCAATGAGGTGGAGGACCATATAAAATTACTTATACTATCTCTATCCTTCTCCAATTAAAGTACTAGTATAACACCATGGCTGTAGTGTTTGTTTGCTGACACCAGTTTTAATGGCTGTTTATCTGAAGAAAATTACATTGACATGTAACAGAAACAGACATCTACCTGTGACAAACTCACTAGGATCCTCACAATAGATTGCTCTTTCAGCACGTGGTGAAAATTCAGTAGGACTAACAACGTGGAGGAGTGAGTAACACCTCAAAGGTGAAAAGGTATTCCTCACCCGTACTTCTTCACATCCAGCTCCTAAGGAATTCACATCTTCCTGCATCAGCTGGCCAGGTTGTTGAAATTTCTCAACTACAACTTGTTGAAAGACTCGTCAAATCACTATGAAGTTACATATAACAATTTAGTAATTTAATTAATCCTTTCCTAATACAAATAAACAAATGTATAGTAATCTAAAAAACTATTTTAAAGAAACAACAAACAAACTAACAAAAAAAAAAAAGAAGACCATCCTCTACAAATCAGAGTAATAGCTTCAGGCAACATTTCTCCCAAGAGAGTGTAAATTACTATTTAATCCAGCATCACATCTCAGGTCCTCTTGCAAAGCACTTTGGTTAGAGCTTCAGTTGCAGAACAGATAAGCAGCTCAACCATGATGAGGCATGAGACTCAAGCAAAGCTATATAGTCACAGGTTCACTTCTGTTACACATACGCTTTAGTGTTCTTTGCCATGCTTATAATTAGATTAGAATCCTGAAAATGTTGATTTTCGTTGTTGTTGTTGTTGTTGAATATGTCTTTTTTGTCCAAAAGATGCCAAGATTCAGTACATGGGCAGACTGTCACCTACTCAGCATGTAGGAAACATGTACATATATACCCATGGTCCCTCCCTCTGCTGCCTGTCTCCATAAAGATGTGCTGTCTTGATTCTGTGCAGTTGCTTGTCAGAGCAGCCAGCCTGCATCCTTTCAGAGCTGCAAGCCTGATGTTATACATCAAAGTGCATGCTTGCTAAAGGAGAAGAGGAAGAAGTCTTTGACCCATGGAAATGGGAAAAAGGAATAACTGATAGTTTAATTTTGTTCTACTTGGGTTTTCTTCCCTTGGGATATCACTGTGGACGCATGAAAATCTCAGCATTGAAAACGTGTACATAAATTGAACATTTTGCTATTATAGCTCCAAATCCATTTAAGTTTTCCTTGTAAGTTAACCTGGCAATTCTAACATCTGGTAAGCACATTAAATGACCTGGTGCCTTTCTGTCCCATTTACAGTGCATGTGAAAAAAAAAACGTTATGACCCTCTCAAGAGTACTCTGATGAATTTCTAAAAGTTTTAAGGTTATTTTCATTAAATATCAAAAGTCTCCAGAAATGGCATTTTCAATGTATCTTTCAGATACCTTCCTCTACTTTTTTTTTTTTTTAATATTTCAGTTAATTCCAGTTTGCCATGGTAAATGCCACTGTTTGGCACTGTTCCATTGCATAAAAAGACTAGATTACTGTTCCAGGCTCCAACAGTCAAGACTTGGCCACTGAAATTAAGGAGACAGTGTTTGCCAAGCCTTGGAGTTAATTGGTGCATTATATCTAATTTAGAAAACATTCAGATAAAAGGCTTAAAACATGCCAGCTTAGTCAGGTGACCATTCAATACATAGAAAAAACATACCCTAAAAATGGTAACAATTTAGCTACCCTACTGCCTCACCTTTAGTACAAAATCAAACTGTGACCTATGCTGAACTTTCCAGTTTTGTTCCTAAACAATGCTCCGCATGCAGAAATAGAGGAATGTGTTTTACTTTTGTTTGAACTGAACGAAACTGCAGAAAGCAGTGGAATATCTACTATAAAACTGAGCTTCCAGAGCACACAGGTGGAAGGATTTCTATTCTACTGACAGAAGAATTGGAGTATTCTCCTACAAAGTGGACTACAGTGAGTTTGGATGTCAATATTAAGGATATATCCAAGTTGTGGTTTAATCCAAATGTTCTAGTGACTCAAGGGATATGATAGATTTAATAAAAAATAAAAATAATTGAGAAGTCCCTCCCTCATGAAGATAGAGATACTGATGCATGGTTACTCTCTAGAAAGATACAACCTGTATCAGCCTTGCAAAACATGACAAAATATCTCCCAAAAGGTTAGTCACTCAGTACAGTTCTTTTTTGTCCCACAATAGGAGGTCAAACACCAGACAACTACCATCTAAGCAAGTCTGAAGAACACTTTACTGCATTCTGCTACTCTTGTAAGTCTGTGTAGTGCTTGAGTACCAATGCTACAAAAATTATTGCAATTTGAATCATACAGCACAATGTAGTGTACACAAACCACATCACAGAAACACACCCCAACTACTCTCACTGCCGTTTGCATCCTCTGGCCTCCGTGGTTAAGGTATGGCATATATTGGATCATCCATGAAAGAGAGAGATGTAGTTTGTTTTTTTTCCCTGCAGGAATCCCTTTTGGTGTACCCTTCTACCAGTATAACACACAGCAGTAGAGAAAAGCTAGCAATATGTTATCACATTTATCTTACTGGCATATTCTTGGTTACGTTCATGTTCCTGGACAGAAGCAGCCTCTAAACACCTTCTACACCAATATCTACACTGTAAATGCATCTTAATAAACTGTCCTTTGGCTTTCCACGGAGTGAAATTATCAGGTATCATGGATACCCCAGCAAGGAATATGAAGTTACAACAGAGGATGGATACGTTCTTGGTGTTTTCAGAATTCCTGATGGAAGGAACAGCCAAAATGCAGGTATGACAGTTGTAGGACATAAGGAAGGTCTGAGAGACAATTCTTACATGGGTTCCCCATCTTTTCCCTTTGCACACGCAGTGGTATGTTCCATACCTTTCCATCTCTGCAAAGGCACCTAGTCATTCAGCCTAAAACGTGGCATAAATTCTGTACATGGGTTAAAACACTCCAGAAAAAACAGATTCTGCACCTCAGTTTTAACTACACATTAGCTACTACTACAGCCTAAGAAAACCTCTTCTGTTTTAGGGAAAAAGCCTGCACTTTTGCTACACGATGGTGTTCTAGCAGATTCTATTAACTGGATTTCTAACCTGCCCGTCAACAGCCTAGGCTTCATTCTTGTAGACGCTGGCTATGATGTCTAGATGGGAAACAGCCGAGGAGACACCTGGTCTTTAAAAGACAAGACCCTTAAGCCCTGTCAGAAAGAGTTCTGGCAGTTCAGGTACTCTATGGAAAAAGAATTACTGAAGAAAGCAACATTCAGGGAACTAGCAAGATTAGGTGATTACTATCAAAATGCAGAACCTTTCCCCTTCTGGTTCTATGAAAAAAATACCTTTTGAACTATATGAAAACACTACTGTTTTTCATATAATCTGACTTCCAAGTGGGACATGCAACATCTAAGAAGACTAGACCAACTCTTTTCCACAGATACAGCCAATGCTGGGTATGTCAGGGGGCTCATAAGAAGGACTACATGATCTGGATGGGCTCTTTTGGAATCAGCACATACAGAAGCAAAGCTGGAAGTACCCAGATCACCTCTGTCCATATACCATGCTGGTTTCTTTGGGAACAGGCTTCCGAAACTGGGAGGCATCTGTAGCCTTGAAGTCTCACCCCATTACCATGTTCCAAGCGCAGAAAGGAGACTGATCAGCTCTGCTGAGAAATCTGATCTACCACAAATGATGTTAACTGGGAGAAAAACAATTCTTGTAACTCATGCTGGTGAAAGCATTGATTAAATTCAGTTCCCCAAGGGCTGCAGCTGTCAGGCAAAACTGGCATCTGCTCCACAGAAAGCCCAAGGCATCAGGCAGCCTGGCTGTATAGCTGCGTCCCTCTGCCCACTTCCCCAAATCAAGCAGACACAGCCTGCAACCTCATCCTTCAATGGGTCCTGCTGAGTACAAGCAACAAAACTGACATTCAGTAACTCACACTGTGATGGCTGAATTATCTGCAAGCTTTTTGTGTTTCTCCCTTTAGCTTTGATGAAATGGGTAAATATGATATTCCAGCAGAGCTGTACTTCATCATGAATAAAACTGGACAGAAGGATGTGTATTATATCGGTCACTCTGAAGGCACAACTGCAGGTAATGTTAGGACACTTATTCACAATGATTCATGTTCCAATCTGATCAGTAGGTGGGTCTCCCCCCATTGATTCTGTTGTTTTTCTTGTTCACAGAGAGCTAGAAAAACATAGAGGATTTTCTGGGCTGAGATTTGGAAAATATGCAAAACTTTTCTAAAAACAGACAAGAGCTCTGGTCTGAAGACAGAAGGAGTAGGATCTAGAATTCCAGCTTGCCAAAGAGGAAGCGTCCACCTCTTTGAAGTGTCTGGCAGCAAAGTCCTTCACCTCTGCTCCCATTCACATATCTGCAGCACCATTCAACATTCAGACAACACATACAGGATGAACCTGACAATGTGATGTTGTACAAAACATACAATGGGAGGGGGAAAAAGGAGAATTGCAACCGCAAACTCCTTCCACCCTGACCAGTTGTGCCTTTTCCTTGCTGTAGAATCAGGGCTAACTGTGAGCTGGAACTCAGATTCCTCACGAACCAGAGCACATAGCTCTGCCCAACTATAGAAAGTACTGGGCAGATGCTGGGGACTGCCCTTTTAGGGAGGTGAATGAAGGTGGATCTAGCAGTGCCTCAAAATCTGGTTGTGTGGACAGAGATCTGAAATTAGGCTTAGTCAGCCCGGAAACAGCCACCAAGGGCCACTCCAGGACATCAAGTTCAAACTTTCCTAGAGCATCTTCCTGTGCTGTACAGGAACCAGCCACAGACACACCCTGCAAGAGGTTACAGTGAAGCACTCCGGTCTGTGACCAACACTGCTTGGGAAAGAACACAATGTGCAGTGTCTTCAACACTGAACATCTAAACCAGCCTAACATCACCTCACATCTGACCTGAGTTTTACAAGTTTTTTAAACAGAAGACAATTTCCAAATACTCATTAGATAGGCGCTGCACTTACCAAAGTTTCCTACAACCAAACTTTATCTTCTTATTGCCATTCATCAGAAATGCAGTCTCCTATCTGAACAACAGGAATACCCACTCTTCACACTTCACCTTGGAAAACTGTTAGCTACCCAGACAAACTCCTTGCAGCACTGTAAGTGTCCCTTCCATGTCTGCTTCAGGATGGGATTAACTCAACAGCCCCACTGAAACCCTTCCATGGCATAGGCTGGAGCCTCTAACAGCCAGCAACAAGTTGTTCCTTGCCCAGATCAGTCCCTCCTGTTCTTAAAGCAGGACCAAGACCTGTTGCTGCACTCCACAGCCACCAGCACCAACAGTGGTACTTCAAAGCTGGGATGCCCAGCAGCCAGAATGGCCTTGCACAAAACGAAAGGACTAAAAGGGAAATGCCCTTACCATGTTTGGGGGGGTAGGATGAGCCAAAAACAAGTATCTTAGACCACATCTAAGACTTCCATGTCCAGGTTTGGGCCACAGGAAAGACATCAGTATGATCAACATCTGCTGAACAAGTTCAACAGAAAGACAACAAGCAGGTCATCCAAACATACCATGGTGTGAGTAACTGCTGTGTTGGCAGGACATTCTCATCAGAGATCTAGGCCAGCCCACAGCACTGCCCAATTTCCGCAGAAACCCAAGCTGTGACCCCCTACCTCCTTTGCCTTAGGGGAGGAAGTTTCTCCTGTCCAGCATCCCTCTTCCCAGGCACCACAGCCCTACACCGACCACTACACCTTCATTTTACCCCTTCTCCTCTTCCTCCTTGCTCACAGACAGCCTCCTCAGCAAGGCTGCTAAGAGTGTTTGCTCCCAGTTAGCCCGCTGCAAAGTTCAGGAGAGCCCAGGTGAGGTGTGCGTATCCTCCGGCACACAGGCGTGGCCGGGCCGACCGCCGGAGGTGCGGGGGGGACACACACGCCAGGTGAGCTGCACCCCCGGGCCCGTCTGCCTGCGCTCGCCGCCGCTCCCTCTCGCCCCCGCGGGGCTACAGCGGCGGCGGCGGCCGGACCCCGCGGCGCAGAGCGGGACGCGGCCACGCCGCTCGCCCGGCGCGGCGCAGGCTCCTCCCTTCGCCCCGCACCGTAACCCGGGCGGCTGCGGCGGCGCAAGGCTCGGCTCGGCGCCGCCGGCACCTGCCGCCCTGCCCGCCGCTCCCGCGTACGGCGCCCGGGGCTCCGCGTCCCGGCGGGGCGAGGCCGGCGGAGCAGAGGGAGGAGGAGGAGGAGGAGGCCCAGGCCACCCCGCCGCTTCTGCCTCCCCCCGCCCCGCGCTTTGTCCGCGGCAGCCGCCGCGGCGCCGCTCACGCGGATGCCAGACCCGGTAAGCGGCCGTCGCCCTTCCCCGTGCGGGGAGCGCGGAGCTGCCGCGCCGCCGTCTCCCGCCGTCTCCCGCCTCCATCCCGCTGCTCTGCGCCAGCGGTCCCTGCGGGAAGAGGGGGAAAGGGGCTGGTAGCCCTTCCGGAGCCGGGAGGCGGTGGGAGCCAGGGCCGGTAACAGCTCCCTCCGCCGCGCCGCGCCGGCGTCCCCGGTCCCGTGCCCGCCCCGGTGTCAGGTGCGGCGACCCGCGGAGGCCTGTCGGAAACAGCCCTCCTCCGGGCAGGGCGGAACTTGGGGCGGGAGCGGCCCCGGGCGGGAGCGCGGCGGGGAGCGGGAGCGGCTGGCGGTGCGGGGATGCAGCGCGGGCATCGCGGTGCCGCTGGGGGTGTGCGGGAGGCGGGGGGCTGCGAGCCCGGGCCGCCTAAAGCTGATGACTCCGCTGCGGCTACGCATAGAGGTGGTGGCAGGTTGGTGGGGAGCCGAGTCCAGAGTGTTACCGTGTTCCAGGGAGAAATCACACTGATAACAATATTCTAGTTTTTTTAATGATTTCCATATACATGTGAAAGATTATCATCGGAATAGAAAGTGAAAGAATGTGAAAAAGTAGAAATTGTGTTCGCTGGGTACATGTAACTCTCGGTTTCTCCTCATGTACTTCATTTTGTACCTGCCTCCTTCTGACCTCTGTAGGATCGAAGGTGTCCTTCCGAAGTGCACGGAGGAATGTAGTTCACTCCACTCGCACAGTCCGCTCTGTTTCAGAAGGCTACCCAAAAGTCTCTTCTGGGGAAATTCCTCTTGGTCTGAAATTATTTTTATTTAATATGCACATGGTTCTGAATACTCAGAGGAGTCATGGGCAGAAAAAAACCCACCGTTTACTGAGAATGGGAAGTGGTGAGATTATGAGATCTTGGATGGACAGTAGTTCCGAGGGAGTTCATCCCCAGGTGAAGACCAGCTTTGAAAAAGTTCTGTCTTCACAGAAGTGGGCTTTCTCCTCTTTGCAAGCTAAGGTGCATGACTGTCCAAAGCTGTACTTAGCGTATATTGATGAATTGCCTTAGACCATCAGGTCCTAGAAAATAGGACACAGACACAGAACTTCATGAAATATTCCCAGGAGGATGGAGTCTAAGTTTGTTCCTGTGGGTGCTGCTCAGGCAATATATTGTGTTACTCTGAAACAGGCTGGATTTTCTGACATACTAAAATCATTTCTGCTGGTATCTTGCATGTCTAAGTGCTAAATATTTGAATAACTAAACTGAAGGCCAGTGTTGACAAATCTGGAGTTTCATACATCACAGGACACTGTAGGAATGTAGGAAGCATTCATCCCAAAATCTGTATCATTATTTAGGTACAAATTTCATAGTTGGGGGGGGAGGTTGTTTATAGTATTTTTAAATGGCTACAAGTGCAGGGGAGTTATTTGATAGTGTTACATTTAAAAAGTAGGTTTCAGTATCTTGATCAGCCCTGCAATCATTTGTATTACTTGGTACTGCTATGCAAATACCGTGAAGGCATTTTTCATGTGGTTTTCCTTATGTGCATGAAGCATGCACATAAGTTCAGGCCTTAAGGCATTTTCTGAAGTTAATCACCAAGCTGAGGAAGAGTATAGCTCAAGGTGAGGGGTCATGAAATCTTCAGCTGCTGAGGGAATGGCATGAAGACACAGAGAAAATGTTGTATAAAAATATGTACTTGGTTTCTGTTTGCTGGACACGTATGAACAGTGGGTTTTTTCTGGTCTTATCTAACTCCTAAAATTTTATTTTTGCATCAAAGGTTGCACCTCCAATTTGTGTTCTTAAAAGTCATTTGCTGCCACTTAAAGAAAGTCTTTATCTATACAATTTTAATAAAATTAGAACATCTGGATTTTCATGCCAGGAAACATATTTTCTGGTCATAGTTTCCATTATAAATAGAAGTATCAGTCCATAAAAGCAAATGATCTTGCTTGTACAGTTCCTGAATGATCCATATGTAGTTGGTTAGTACTGTTGTTGCATAGAAATCCCTTTTATAAAAATCCAACATTTTCAGTCTTGCACGGCTGATGATGCCTCTTGGTAATGCTGTGAGTCAGTAAGCTCCTCAGACACAACCCATTGCCTACCACTTCCTACTGGCAGCTCCAGATGACTCACAGTTCAGCACACAACATACGGAATTACATTATGGAAGCTGTGGGCTCACTACCTAATCAACGTAGGAAGTGTCTTCCTCTTTTAGCATCTCTGAACCATTGTCAGAAGGCCCTCAGAGATCTTTATTGCTCTGTGTTGACTTGGAAAAGAGTTTGTATAGGCTGCAAAGATCAATGAACTCATCCTGAAGGGAAAAGCAAATAATTTGAAAATAGACTCAAAGGTAGTCTGCATACCTTCAGTGGGATGAATAGCCTGGTGGCCTGCAAGCATATAAAATGTTAACCACAAATCATTGCACTCAGCTTTGATATTCTGGATAATTCAGCTGACTGTCAAGCAGCCCTGTGAGCTGACTGTGTTACAGATCACTGTGCTGCTGTAAAACTTGTGCTTAGCATTGTCAATCTTAGCAAACTTACATAAGAGAAATTAAATATTGTAACTATCCCAGTAGAAAAAGTAGTCTAAATTCTCCTCATAGAGCCAGACATTCCTGTTGTTTTTCCCATCTGCTCATAGCATGAGACATCCTGAATCATCTAGGCTAGGGCAGAAGGTCAAAGATTTCATTATGAAATCAACTAACTGTATTATCTTAATATAGGCATCATACTACAGAAACATGCCGTAGTTATTTGTATTGGTTGATCACACTTTATCCTGTAGGTAATATTACTATCCATTTCTTACCTGCCCTTTGATTACTTAACCATAAGTGTACAAAACAGTCAGAATCCTTGGAACTAGTGCCTCAAATTATTTTTTTTAGATTTGAGGCCACAAGACAAGCTTCATTCTTTATAATAGGCAATTTAATAGACTTCAGATGAACTGTGAATTTTTATGTCAGAAATGCTGAGTAAATTTGGTTCTCCTTTATTTTCTAGCCTGTATTATGAACGTAAGACGGAGTAGGAATTTGTCATCAGACAGAAATTGCTTGTTGCAACCAGTTATGCACTTAATTAACAAGTGTCCTTATTAGAGGCTATGGAGTCTGAAAGTGTTCAAAATGAAGTAGGAAATATTGCCAGAAAAGTCATTACCTTTTATAGGAAAACCCAGAAGATTCTTAACCCTCCTAGCCTAGGGGAGGAGAGTTTCTTCTGAGAGAAATAGGACTGCAGGCAGAAAAAAACTGTGAAACCTAAGACTTTGCAAGGAATCATGCTTTCTTTGTGTCCTGGAAGTCTATGAAGTTGCAGGCCTCTGTGCTGATTTTTAGCCTCTCATTTGTTTCCCTTAGCAACCCAGCTTCTTGTCTTCATGGTGGAAGTTAGTTTTGTCAATGATGTTCTGTATTGCAGGTATCTCCTTTTTTCAGTATTTCAGTTGAATCATCAAAGAACAAATTATATAACAACAGCTATTTCTTTTATTTCTGCCCTCTTCTGGGTTACTGTGCCCTGGTACACTACTTTTGATGGGGGATTGTTGTGGATTTCCTAAAGGAAGGAAATGGCACTGTTTTTCTACACCGTGTCTAGAACATCCTTTTAGTGGGTCACTGGAAAGATGCTGTTCTGTGTTGCATAAGTATATTTCACTGAATGCCTAAGAAGGCTATTGCTTGTAATCCAAGACATTCTACCATTGGTGATACTTTATCCATTATTTTAAAAATACTTTTCTGCTGCAACCGAAAGGTGTTACCAAAAAAGGGAGAGAGGAGAGGGATTGTTTCAACACAAAAAACCTCAAGAGAAAGAACTGTCAGTTCACAAATGCATGTTTGAATGTTCAGTATTCCCAGTCCATTTTTCAGGACATTCTCTTAAATATCCTGTAACTAATATTTTTGTAGACAGAGCATATTAATAAATCAGGTAGCAAGACATCATCAAGATGTACAGCTCAAGTGCATAGGGTTATGTTATAACAGCACAAACATACTAAATGTTGATTTCAAAACAGTCTGCCTAAAAATGAATGAGAAAATAGTTGAAAGTCTGTGCTTTGAAGCTAGAGGAAAAGCTTGTAGGTTCTGTATTCACATACTCTGTAGGGAGTAATAGTCAGGTTCTTGCGTGTGCCATGTTGGATGTTACCTGCATATTGCAGTGGTTTATCACTCTTACAGACCCAGTAGCAAACTAATTTTATTGACATAGCTACTTTATTCACTAATATTCATATCTGTGCCAAAAGGAGAACTGTCCCTAGAAGACAGCCAATCAATTATATTCAAGGAATTACATTGACTAACTGCAGTCATCCAAATATTTGCAGACCAACTTTAAAAGCCTTCAAATAATTATATTAACTTCTTTTTTAACTGTGAGAAAACAGAGCCTCGTGCCACCCACTTTTTCTTTAGATGAAAATAAAGCTCAGTTTTGTGATGTAAGATACAGCACTGAGTGGCCTAACCATATAAGCAAGGCATGGGTTTGGCAGATCTGTGCATGGAGGATCTTCCCTGCATGTGATTTCTCCCTCTCAGCACCCAAGCCAATGAAGGTGCTACTGTCTATACACCACTGACATGGTCTGCAGAGAGACCTCTCGGCGGTGTGCTGGGACATGGTGGCACTGGTCCTTCACCAGTGAAAAACAGGAAATAATCTTGACCTGCTTCTAGGAGAGATGATAGTATAGCTTGGAAGTTGCCTCTGAGAGTTAGGAGAGCTTAGGAGGAGGTCTTAGCAATGCTGTTTAAATGAAGCCATGAAGCTAAGGACCAATGTTGAAGTATGAACCATTACCGAGATGGGCTTTTCTAGAGCCAAGCTTAGTAGCTCCTGCTGTGAAGAGCAACTTCTCCATTGAAAGGTGCAGGGTTTTTAGGAAGCTACTCCTCGCAGCGCTTCCTTTCATTGAAAGGCCATTCTGTTGGGTTTTGTTGATTGGGTATTTCCTCTGCACAAGAGAATGATCTTGCCATGACATTCAGTGCTTAGCTTTTTTTTTTCCAGAAGAGACTCCTTACTATACCAGCTGAATCACTTGCTGTGATTCTGAACGGTTGTTACAAAAAGCATGTTGACAGATGAACAGGCTGTTTCTTTTTGGAGAGAACCAGCGTTTACTATTTAGGCT